AAAAAAAAAAATTATTATTACATTATTATTGAACTGTCCCTTTGCCGTTCACCCATTACAGACCCCAAAGCCCCACGTATTACCCAATACATACTTTTTACATTATTATTGTATCCGCGTTGGTAGCTTAAAAATAATGTGTAAAAAAAAAAAAAAAACGAAAATATTTATTATTATTATTTTTTTTAATCGTTTAGATGTATATTATTACTATTAATTATAAAGTATATAAGATCATATGGTAGATATGATTTCGTTTTTTCTGTGTCACTTAACATATATAAATATACATTACGCGTAGGAATTTTTTTTCGAAATGTATAACCTACAATAATATCGAAGCACACGCACCGTCGTCGTCTCTTATGTCTTCGCACTTCGACTGCGATCTCATTTTGTCGTCTTCATTATATTATAATATTATTGTGTATAAGGCACACTCGTGTAGATCTCTTATATATCATTGTATTTCATTATAATAATATAGCTTTCGGTTCGTTTTTTTTTTTTTCATCCGTACGTCTGTGTGCACGTGTCTCCACACTCGGAATATATCGCAATAAGCAATAATGCGTGTTTTCGCGTTTTTCCGTTTAACATTTTTTAAGTCGCCGTCGTTGTTTTTTTGGTCTCGTCGTCCTCTTCCACGTCAACTGCGACCGCAACGTGTGAGCAGTGYGTGCTTCTTGTTTAGCCAATGCGCTTCCCGCGATTTTCCACCCAAATTGTGTTATGATGGGACGTCCTATCACCGGAACGACGTATATGACACCGTTTGCTTCCGATTGTTCGCATTTCTCCTCCTCATCGGCTGCTATCGATCGATAGCCGACTGACGGCGATAAATATTTGACGATAATATACGACACGATCGTGAAAGTCGGCGCAAATGCCCACTCGCGTTTTGTCTCTTGACGACATTTGGCGTACACGAAATTTTGCGACATTTTTTCCATCGAGAATTTTCTCATTTTCGTTGTAAAAAAAATAAAATAATAAATGATAATATTGTGTGTATAATAGGTACGCATATTTATTTCGTTTATACTAATAACAATCGATCCGTTTCGCGGTTAAAATTCTTAAATTTCTGTTAAATTACCTGGTCATCGACATCGCAATCGAAAACATATTTAAGTTAACGTTATTTTATTATATTACTTATATTTTATACGGTGCTGGAAAATGTTATATAATCGAATGCTGTGTACTGCAAGTCATAGGAAAAAAATAAAAATATTATCATTAAAAATGACGTGCGTGTGTCATGTTTTCTCAGCCAACCGCGGTGGTCTATGATGCCGTCACCACATCGGTCTCGTCTCGTCCTGCAAAAATATTATTCGTCGTCATTTTATCATCAGCACACTCCGCGCGCACCTTCCCCCCATGCTCGGGATTTGCGTTTTCCGAATCTCAGTGAGTGCTCAAAATTCAGACGATTTGATGACGATAAATAATAATTATTTTAATTTTATAAACGACACGCGATCGCGATCGACAGACGTGCAGTAAAAATTACCCATCATCGTATTATTATTATCTATAGCAGTAGCCATTTTAAAATAAATATATATTTTTTTTTTAAACAAGTTAACTCTCGACAATCATACGGGGTGTATAAACAATCACTAGTGTTACTTCTCATATTTATATTATATTTATTTTTATGTATATATAATATCATGTCTATATATATATATATATAAAGCGAAAAACTTGAGTTTTGTACACTTAAATAAGTTGCTACATATATATATATATATATATATATTATATATATATATATAGGCATATAATATATACATACTAGGTATTAGAGATCGTATAAAAATGTACTGTTTTTAATTTTAACAATATTTTATATTGTGTACCACATATCTTTTTCTTGTGTATCTCACTATATTTAACTATACGTTATTATTTTTTCTACTTCTAATTTTTGGTTTTTTTTCGATTTTTACTATACATGTATTTTTATGGCTGTAACGTTTTCTAATTTCTATTTTTCAACAGAAAAAAAATTAATGACAAAATACACACTGTTTTATCTTCGATTTATATCTATTTTGTATTTTATCTCTCTCTCTCTACACACACACTCTTTACCTTCTCTTTTTCTGTCTCTCTCAAATACTTTATCTTATACTCTTTACTCTCTCACTGTCTCTGTCATGCATATAATATTATATACACCTACCTATATGCCTTTTATATTATATGCCTTCTACTATGTCTGCATTCGCATGCATACAACACTATAATAATAATATACACAATATTCATCATACGTTATATGAGACAATAGACCTATACACCATGTTATAGGTCTGTGGTTCGATGTATTATTATTATGTGTATGTGTGGGTGAAATTGAACGAAGACTTGTTAATTTACTATAATACGAGTACACACCAAAGACGTCCAAACTCCGAAGACACCGACCGGTACGAAATTTGAAGATTGATCAATATCCTATATGCGATATGATGCGAATCGATTATATAGGCTGATAGAACAAAATATTGAACATTTTTTTTTCTTTTTGTGGTCGATGACGACCTTTCGCTTGAATGCGTCTTGGCAATGAACTCAATACCTATACAGTTATATAATACCTGCACTGTGTGTCACAGCCCCTTACCTTATATTGTACGTCGTATTTTTTTTCTATCATAAATATTGCGCGTTGGACCGATTCGACTACGTGTTTGCGTGTTTTTATGACAACATTAAATAGACGCCAGCTTCGACCGTCCTACTATTTGTTGATCATCGATCCAAATAGCAAAGAATAAATATATTTTTTATTTTTATTATATTATCGTTGCGTTAACGTTTGTTTGTTTGTTTTTTTTTTTCTGGAGGAATATTTTATTATTATT